TCAAAGCCATAGCCATGTTTGGCCTTGGTTTGTGTCCTGATCCAAACAAATCAACTATCAAAAAAAAAAAAATCCTGGGGCAATTAGGGATCTGACTGCGGACTGGGTATTAGAGTGTAATAATTAATCACTGTCGGGCATGATGATGGCATTGGGGGTGATATAAACACAAACCAAGTCCTTCTCTGTTAGAGAAGCATACTGGGAAATCTATGAGTGAAATGACATGATTGCTACAATTTATCTTTATATGTTAGGGGGAGAGATGAAGCAAAAATGGCAGAATGTTGATGATTACTGGAGCTGGTGAAGGGTATGAAGTCCTTATTGAACCAATCTCTTCACTTTTGCATCTATTTGAAAAACTCCTCCCTAAAAAAAGGCCTTTCTGAAAATGCAAATACTGCCCTGGGATGAAATGAGTCTACCTACAGTGCATCCCAGAAGCCCTGCGACCCTCATCCAAGCCACCAAGTTAGACTATGCTAAGAGCCTCCTCTTGGGGTTCTCCTTTCCTTCTGACCCCTTCTCCAAACAGCAGCCAGAGTGGCCTTTTAAATTCCCCTATCAGATTGTGTCCCCCTCACCCTAAACCCTCCAATAATGATACAAAGAGCTGATCTTCATATAGTGCTCAAAAAGGCTGGGAGTCATTCTGAGCACTTCATATGTATTAACAGGACAATAATTACCCCATTTTACAGATGAGGAAACTGAGGCCTGGAGACGTAGAGTAACATGTCCAAGGTCACAAGACTAGGAAGAGGAGGAGTGAGGATTTGGCCGAGGTGGGCTGCCTCTGACCAACCCCCTATTCTGCCTCTCTCAAAAAATAGGATCCAAACCAGCAAGGCCCACATGACCCAGTTCTCACCTACCCCTGGGATCCACCCTTAAACTCTCCTTTGTTCACCAGCTCAGCCTCTGCGGAAACTAGTTAGTCCTGCCTCAGGGCCTTTGCTCATGCTGTGCCCCCTACTGGGAATGCTTTTCCCACTGATATGGCTGCTCCTTCTCACTTTCAGGTCAGGGAAGGCCTCCTCCTCCTCCATGCCTCTCTGCCATTGCTCCATTTCATCATCTTCAGAACACTTAGCATTACCTGAAATTACACTATTCATTTGTGCCCTTATTTATCATCCCTCCTTCATGAGAAAGGACAGGGCTGTGTGAACAGGGCCTTGTCTATTTGTTCACCACGGTTCCTTGAACACCAAGACCTCTGTGGTCCGATACGTAGTCACCAGCCATGTGTGGCTAATTAAGTTACTATTAAAATGAAATGAATTATAAAACGCAGTCTCTCAGTTACAGCAGCCACATTTCAGGTTCTCAATGACCATCTGTGGTTTGCGGCTACTGTACTGGATGGGGCAGACAGAGCACGTTAATATCATCACAGAAAGTTCTATTGGGCAGTACTGGTCTAGATCACCATGGCCAGTCACAGAAATATACCACTGGGGAAATCTTACATTCCTTCCTTCATTCAAAAACAACTTAACGAGCACCATTTCCATGCATAAAATATACCCTGGGGCCTGCCTCATTTACTGCTGTGACCAGGCTGGAGATGGCACCTGAACAGTGATGTTGTGGGTAAAAACTGTGATGGCGTCTATGTTTTTACTGAAGGGTGGTACCGCGTAGCAGATTAATGTGCTTATTATAAAGGGAGACAGATGGACCGTGGGGAGCTGCTGAAAGCCCACTTTTTGGACAGGTTATTACAGCCTAGAGAAGGGAGACTATTGACTCCTTTCTCCAAGCAGCTATCTCTGTGCTGGGGAAGCAAAGTCAAGAAAATCTGCAGGAAAACCTCACGTTCCCTTCCCACCTCTGCCCCTTACTCCTCACTAGCTGGTCAAGCCATTTAATCTCGGGAAACATCAAAAAATGTGACAAACATATTATCACAGCCTCCTCCTGAGCCCAACAGACAACACTGATCAATCACATACCCTTTCCTGGAGGAACCAGAAGGAAAGTTCCAGCTCCTTCTCAAGCCAGCATTCCAGGCAGCCACTTCCAAGCAGAGCTGGCAAGAGAAGCAGTCTCTCTGCCTGGGAGGATCTCTCTGTTCTAAGCCCTGGCTTCTTCATCTACAAGGTGGGGACTGACAATACCCCCCTTGCAGGACTGCTGGGGGGTTAACTGAGATGATTCATTTGTTCAGTTATTTGTTCAGGCATCAAATGTTTACTAAGCGCCCACCGGGGGCCTGACGCCTGCCAAACACACGCAGCATCACATAAACCGTAGCTGTGACAAGTACCGACATCTGATGCCACCTCTGTGCGCCTGCGTGGTTGGGTTCTAGCCTCCGTGCCCTTCCTCAGCCCCGGAGTCCCTCTGCTCCGGGCCGGCTCACACTCACCGCGTCACCCAGTGAGGGGGAAGGAGCCCATCAAAGATAGCCTGAGGATTAAACAGGCAGCATATTTTCCAATAAAAAAGACCCCCCCATCTTCTTCTAGAACCTTCTTTTCTTATGTTCTAAATAAGCCTGGGTTGGATTAGCTCCCCACATTTAACTTTATTTCCTTGGATTCCCATACACAAAACACTGTCTTAACAAGCCGTGTCTACCAGGCTGAGCAATATTTCCTATAAACTCTCGTTTTATCTTCTCTAAAACACACAGTCATAGCATTCCCTGGAGAATATTAAATCAAACCAACCTGCAGCTGCATTTGTTTGCGCTTTCTGCCCCCAGTAAATTCTGGCAACAGATGGGTGTGCGTTACAGAAGTGGTGCCCCTGCAGGGGACCGCGGCCCTCCGCGCTCTCCTCTCCCCAGGGCACCCTCCTCGACACCCGGATGTCCTGCGCCTCTCTTTTCTATTCTCAGCACACAGGGAAGGCCGAGTGAGGGTTAAAGAAGAAAGGCGGGCCTCGGCCAGAAGGGATGAAGCTTATCTTCTTTGTAATCCAGCACAGAAAATCCGCTTTTCTTGGTCTGAGCTATACAGTCAATGACAGGGCCGAGCTGCAGGGCATGGGCTTGCTGCTTGATTGCCTATTCCAGAAGATGCTGACGCCCGCCTGCCCAGAAGTGCCATGTAGACCGGAGAATGAGAGGACCCGGCTCTAGATGCTGGGGGTGCGCTGGGGCTACATGGAGCTGGGGCCGCATCGGAGCCTGGAGGAAGGCCTCTAAGCACATGAGGGACCAGGGCTGGCAACAGGGGAGCAGGGGAGGGGCACAGGCCCTCAGGAACTGCCTCATTATTTCGGTGGTTTGGATTTTTTTCCTCAAATTTAAACTTCAGGTATTGAAAAAAAAAAACACCTCAAAAATCAGAGAAAGCTTTTTGTGACTTCTCCGAGGCATCATCGTGTGTGAACAGAGCCGGCTGGGACTGTGTCTGCCACGTTAGCCCCCAGATCCCCAGAGCCTAGCAGATGTTTATTCGGTAGCTGGATGACTGGGTGGGTAAGTGGGTGGGAGAATCAGTAGGAAGAGCTTCAGGACTGGAGGAGGACAGGAAGGAGGGAGGAGGCACGGAGTCTCCTGGCCGATGCTCCAACCTGCGGCATGACCTTGGTCAAATGCCCTAACCTCTCCTACTCTGTCTCTCATCTGGATCTCAGAAAGGGTGAGACAACTGTTCATGGGCTCTTGGGAAATGAACTCACTCATTCAGCAACCGTGTATTTCTACTTCAAATAGAGCAGTGGCGGGGACGACTCAAACCCTGCTTCCAAGAGGCCCGCGGTGTGATGGGGGAGGCAGTTGTCAGTCCCGGTGCAGGGGTGCAGGGGTTCATGAGATTCTGGCTCCCTGTGAATGTTCAGAAGATCTAGCAGCACTGGCAGGACTTGCTACCTAGCAAACATTACTTAAGGCTGAAAAATGGCCTTCCCTCTACCTGGGCCATATGCTTGTCTGTCTGCCACACTCCCCACCAGGTCCTAGTGTCTCTCTACCAATACTGAGGCTGAGGATCGGTTCCTGTTTATCATCGTCACTTTCCTTATGGCAGATTAGAAAGGAAACTAGAACAATTCTCAGCCCTTGTTTTTATCATAAGACGGGGAACCAACCTAGGCCGAGGAGGGTCCCATCCCTTTTCATCCATCGAGTTCCCTGCTGAGTCCCCGGGCCTTCTGCTTGAAACCCTTGGCACTCTGGGTTCACCTCTATCAAGGGCTTCATCACACTGCATCATGCTGCTACGTTTACTTGTCTGCCAGCTTTCAGACAAGGAGTACCTCCAAGGCATGGACTCTGTCTTTTCCTTGGTGTCCTCAGAATTGATCAGGAAGTCCGAAGGGACCTGCTCTGTGCTCGATAATAAATGTTGAGTGAAGGAGTAAACGCAAGTGAATACAGGAGAAACAGTCCAGAGAAGAAGGCAAGGATGAGGGCCTGTCTGCAGGTAGTGAGGTGAGGGTAGGAAGGAGGAGGGAGGGTCCTGAAACCAGAGGGACAAAAGAACACAGAGGTTAAGAGCCTGGTTGTTTAGAGTGGGGTCCGCACACCAGAAACACTGATATACCTGGCAGCTGGTCAGACATCCAGAATCTTGGGCCCTGACCTAGACTTGCTGGCATAGAACCTTCATTTTATCAAGATTCCAGGTGAGTCATTGCAGATGATGGTTTGAGGGGCACAGGCTAAGCGAACAGGCCTGGAGTCCGACTGCAGGGACTCAAATTCTCACTCTGATGCTCACTGGCTGTGTGACCTGGGCCACGTTATATAACTTCTCTGTGCGTCTGTTTCCTTATCTGGTAAAACTGAGCCTCGGTTCATATTTCTCCACTTCCCCCAAAGGGTGGCCTGATTTTACTTCCCAAACCTCAGTGGAGGCTCATCTCCTGGTGGCTCTGACAATGTGAAGTGAAATCCGCCAGCAGGAACTTGCTACCCACAAGAGGAAGGGCAGCAGGGCCTCCTGGTACCCATTTTGCCACTTTGGGACTCAGGCCATTGGAAAGCCCTAAGTGCTTCCATCAGCCAAACGCCCAGTGAGGAACCGCAGCCCGTTACTTACGCCGTCAGCCGTCCAGTAATTCCGAACCTTGATCTTGGTTAGACCAAAGTCACGCAGCTGTCTCGTGTTGCGGATAACAAAAAAGAGCTGGAGTGGTGGGTGGAAGGGGCACGTCCACAAGGAAGAATCTTGCTTGCTCTGAAATGCCAGCAAGAGAGGGGCATTGTTAGCACATTTCTGCCTCATCTCAGCATAAATGGGCAGTGACTATGGAAACCAGGAGAGAGGAGGGCGGGAAGCCAGGAACCTTCTCTACATCATCCAGGGTGGGGTCTCGGATCTCACCCCATCTGGACTGTGCTTGGGAGCGGGCTACTGACCCTGTCACCCGGCATGAAGCTGCCACGTGGGCCCCTCTGCTCTGCCATCCAGACGGAATTTAAAATGCAGCGGGCTTTCTTTTAATCAACGTAATGGGCTTTGTGGGGAGAGAGCCCGGAGGGGAAGGACGGGAAAAGAGCCACCACTTGCTCTGTTTGATTAACCTGGCCAGAAGAACCTTTGATTTTCCTTCGTAAAACACTGTAGAATTTTTAAAAATTAAAAATAGAAAAGAAAGAAACTGGCTCAGGCGTTTGTTGGGATGGGGCCAGGGCACCGAGCCTTGGGATTTATTCTGTTCCCTTTCAGGGTTTCCAAGCCACAGGACCCCGGTGTGTGGTTTCCGCCGGCCAGCGAGGCTGCCAAGGCTGCTCTCCAGGCCAAGGAGGCAGAAGAGCAGGGAAGCTTCATTGTCTTTTTCATCCTCACCGACAAAATTTCGTACTACGAGTGCTTTGGATGCAGATTGGAAAAAGCAAACTCAGGGGACTTCTCTCAGCTCCAGTCATCTCCCCTCCTGCACTCTGTGGGTACCTCTTCTACTCTCTGGACAAAACTCACAAACGTCTCCACTCTGGCTTGGCCTCCGTGCCTTTGCATGGACCGGGCCTCTTCGTGTAACACTGTTCCTTCTCACCTTGGGAAATTCAGCTCAGACGGGCTGTCGCCCCCTTTGTCACCCCTTCCCCTGACACAATCACTCCCTCCTCCAGACGCCCACAGTTCCTTGCAAGGCCTGAGGGTGTCATTTACTCAGTGTCCCAGGAATACCTGTTTTCAGGTCCATTTCATTCCACCCCCTCTCCCCGCCAACACACACACAGACACACACACACTCTCAGCTGTGAGTTCTCCTAATTCATTCCAGAACCCTAAGTATTCTGCACCATTCCTTGGCACACAGTAAATGCTAAAAAAAATCTTAGAATTTTGGAAAATCATTGAGTGAAGAAATGAATGGAGAAATGAAATTTACCTCCTGATATCGTCCCCTCACTGAAACTAGAGACTGGAAACTGATCTGGCTGGCAGAGCTATTTTGTATAGCTCATGAAGTATTGTTTTAAAAAACCCCAGCAAATTCGTTACCAACACTTACAGATGGGAGATATCCCCTCCCCCTCAGAGCTGGGTCTCTGGCTTATCTATAGACTTAGAAGACATGGCAACACGGAGTCCCTGACTGCAGTTGGCTGGAACTGAGTACACTGCGCCGGTGGCCAGGGCGGGTGTTCTCCGACGCCCCAGTCCCCACGACTCCCTATTGTTTTTCACCCACATCACTGCCCTGGTTATGCTTCTGCCTGGCCCCTGCAAGCATTTGAGTTTAGGGTCGCCATTGAACAGTCACAACAAGTCCCATCTGCCAATGAGCAAGCTGCATCTCTGACGCTGGCTGAAGTTGCCCCTTTTACCTAAAAGGAGCATCGCCCAGTATCTGAGAACGCCTCCCTGGGCTCCTGTCCCCAGGACCGTGCCCGCTACTTGACAGAGAGGAGCAGGAGGACACTGCTGCCTCTGGGGTTCTGCCGGCCCCCAGGAGACACGAGGCACAGGCCCCAGCTGCGGGGAGGACAAAGGTGGCTTGTCCCAGTGACAACGGTGCCTTTCAGGAGGGAGGAGGCTGCTTTGTTAAGGGGGGAGAGACGAGTTCAAGGGGTTCTGACTTATCCTGGCGAGTTTCTCGAGCTCTGCAAGAACTTCTAGTGCTCTGGGCAGCTGCGAGGGGTCAGGACAGAACATCTCCAAATCCAGCAGGGACGTGGTGGGGGTGGGGACCGGGTCTCATTCCTTCTCCAAGTCGGGGCCTTACAGGGGTCGCCTTGGCTGCTGAACAAAGGTAGAGAATGAAGGCTGACCCTTAGACACAGCCATGGGGACTGTAATTGATTTCCCATCACATTTCTGCCAGCAGGAAGGCTAACCAGAGGGCTAAGTGGGAATTTTGGTGCTCAGAGTCAGAGAGCAACAACCTGCAGGTAACTACTCGTCAGCAACTGAACCTTCTGAGGGGGTTTTACTTTTACATTACCACCAGCAAGGTAGGAGGGTTCCAGTTTTTCCATATGCTCACCCAGGGTGAGCCAGCTGCCTCATGTCCCAGCCTCAGGGCCCCAAACAAAAAAAAAAACCCCAAACCCACCAAAACCCTGGGCCAATGTCCTCGCAGCTATCACATGGCAAAGCTCATCAGCCTCTGCTAAACAGAGGAAAAGGGAGAGTCATCATCAGAATGGGTCCCCATCACATCCAGCGACGCTTTTTATCGCTCCTGGTATGCTCTGTTCTGTACAGCAGACTTCCAAAAGGCCACAAAGGGGATGGGGGAGGGATAGCAAGGGCCGGTCCAAGCCCCAGCAGCACACACCAGAGCCTACAGCCTCAAAACAGGAAGGAGAGCAGGGGACACAAAGCCAGAGCAGCTGAGTGGCCGTGACCTACCGGACTTGTTTCTTTCAAGGTCATGTAGCTACTGAACTTTAAGAAGGCTCAGACACCACCCAGTCCGACCCCAGGACAAGCGGCATTTCCTGGCTATATAGCATCTGACCTGCTTTTCTTTCAGTAACAACCACATATTTCTTCGGGAAGAATTCCCTCCCCGCCCCGCTGGGGCACCTCGGTGGAACTGGCACCAAGGTGCCGAGCCCTCCTAGGCAGGGCGGTCCATCAGCCTTCCTCTCCTGGGACTGGATATCTCAGCAGAGTGACAAGATGACAAACCAACTAACCAGCCAATCACCTGACAGACACTGCACTTCCACCCCACCCCCAAAGACCAAACCCTGGGTGTTCGTGCATCCTAGGACGCTACCTAGAACCCCAACATGACTGTGGGTCCTGTCCTCTTCTGGCCTGGGCAGCAATGAAAAAGCCAGCTACTCGAAAGACTTGCAACAAACTTCTGCTCAAAAACTTGCTAAAGCGAGCCAGACTCCGTTTCTTTGGCTGGCAAAATAAGAATCATATGGATTATCCAGGCCCTCCACCCCGATTCTACCGGGGGCAGAAAAATTGACTCTCAGAGAAGGCAGGTGAGTTGCCCAAGGCGACAAAGAGTCAAGACCAGAACCTGGGTCACTAAACCAGGGGTTTCGAAGCCCCTGTCTTGCTTACTTTTCTTTCAATGGGAATACTTACGTCATAGCAGCAATGGAAACGGTCATAGCTGACGTTCGGGGGCCCTTTCGAAGAGCGAGGCAGGGCGCTAGCTCTTTATATTTACGTGTGGTCCTTACTACATTGTGTCAAGGTCAGCGCTATTATTGTCCCCACTTTACAGACCAGGAAACCGAAGTAGATGTTAGGGGAGGTGCCCACAGGCACGGACCTGTAAGCGGTTAAGCTCTGAGCCCAGCCTTTCTGCTTCTCGGGCCTGTGCACTGTTCTGTTTAAATAAGATGGTACGTACATCGGCCGCAGCACCATGCCTGGCATGAGGCAACAGCTGAATAGGCGCAAATGTTTTCATTTTCAATATTTAAAAAAAAATTGGTAATTTGTTTTCTGGAATAGAAAATACATCTACACGGCAGGAAATTTAAAAGCTGCCTGAAAGCATCCAAGGGAAAGTCTTCCTACAGCCCGGTCCCCTGCCCAGCCGGTCCCGAGGCCCAGAGGCAACCTCTGTTCCGGGTTTCTCAGGCCCCGCCCAGAGGTCATGGTGACCGATGCTGGATGTAAAGATGTCACTGCTGGGCCATCTGTCTCAGCCCAGCTCATCGTCTCCTGTGTCCAGCTTGCAAGTGGCAGGAAGAGAAAATACCAGGGCTTTTCTTTTTTAAATTGTTAGACACTTAAAAGAAAGCAATGTTCCACGTTTGTTGGGTGCGTCCTCCATGTTCCCCAGGGAAGCAGGACCCCGAGGGGTGCACGGGCCCCAGGCCAGGCTGCTAGGTGTGCACTTGGCCCCATCACCTTCCAGCTGTGTGCCCTTGGCCAAGTCAGTGCCCTTTTCCAAGCCTTCGTTTTCTTCTGCTACAAAATAAGGGCGTTGCTCTCAATGACCACCCCCTCCCCAAGAGGTCCCATGTTTGGTAGTGATGGTGGCAAACTGCAACTTAGATAAAGGGGGTGGATTGGTTTTTCTTTGTCCCCCTGACCCCCAAAGAAACCCCCACAGAGCAGGGACCTGGGAGAGAGCTGAGGGCCAGGGGAGGGACAGTCTGGAAGCCTCTACCTGTTCATTTGCCCAAATGAATGACTGGGCACGACTGATTGCATCATCCTTCCTCTCCCCTGGGCTTATCGTGGGCCGAGAAATGCATCAAAATGCGAGGCTAAGACTCACTGAAGGCCGCCTCCACTTACAGCTAAGTTCCTATTGACCAGGTGGCCCAGGTCCCCATGCGTGTCCGCGCTCCGGATATCCACGTCATGAGGCGACACGTAAAGTTTTGTGTGGTTCAGGTCGAAGAACTCAACTTCCGTGAGACCCACCCACGACGCGCTGCCCCAGTTGGACAGGATTTCCATGGTCACGTAGATGGCATCTTTGATCTCTTCTGCCTTCGTTCTCGATTCGTCCTGAACGAGGAGGAAAGGAATGCCAAAGGATGAAACACGACAGGTGGGGTCCGGCTCTACCACTAAACAAGTTCTTCAGCCTCTCGGTGCCCCAGTTTCCCACTCTGTACAGTGACTGTGAAAACAGCGCCCATCACGGGTGGTTATCGTGGAGACTGAATGAGCTCGTATTTGGAAAGCATTTAAGACGTAGTTACTGCGAACCCTGGCAATTAGTATGTTCTAAAAGAGTCTGTAGATAACAAAAAATGTTTAAAAGGCACCAGACTCTGCCTGAACACGCATTTCTCTCTGCCACCACGAAGTGCTCACGTCCTGTAGGCAGGTCACAACTGCTGCTGAATCGGGCAGCTGACATGTCCCCTGCCCCCCAAAATTGAGATACCGAAGCCCAAACCCAAGTAGCTCAGAATGTGACTGTGTTTGGAGATAAGGCCTTTAAAGAGGTAATTAAGTTAAAATGAGGCTGTTAGGGTGGGCCCTAATTCATTCTGACTCATGTCCTTACAGGAAGAGGAAATCTGGACACCCAGAGAGACCTCAGGGATGGGCAGGCATGCAGAAAAGGCCACACGAGGGTATGGTGAGAAGGCGACCATCTGCAAGCCAAGGAGAGGGCTTGGGAGAAGCCCAGCCTGCCAACAGCTGATCTTGGATTAGCTTCCAGAATTGTGAGAAAATCAGGCTTTGGTTTAAGCCACCAGATTGGCACTCACTTGTGGCAGCCTAACAGACGGCCTACCTAATACAGTCGACAACATGGGACCCTGGACAAGTCACTGGACATCCCTCGTCCTGGCTGGGGAACAGGAGAGGACACCATCTATCCGACAATCCTGTTTGATTAAGCGAGATCCGCCCCCCGGAGAAGGCCGGTCACCAGCCCTGGCCTGTGTGCCCTCTCTAAGTGTCCGTTTCCTCCCATGTCTCTCCTCCATTGATTTTAATGCCCGCCTCCTTAGCGGGGAGACTGTCTGGTCTGAGAGTGCGTGAATGCCATCAATAAACGGCCACACCGTGGAATGGCTTCCCGAGGCCCCCTTCGGCCTCCGATGGCAGTGCTGGTCGCCACGGATCAGCCACTCATGAAATGGTGCATTCCCCACACGCTCATGCCCTCTCTTAATTAGCATCATAATCTGAGATGGTTCTTTGAGCAGGAAGCTGAGCAAATGAACAGCAACTGTTTCCTACTTATTTTTTTTAATTAATAGCCAGCAAGACGTGCTAGTGTTCTCAGCGTGCGTTTGGCTGACCTTGATTGCCACGCGATGGGATGGGGACAGGGAGGGAGGGAGGTCAGCTTGCAGCTCCCAGGAGGAACTCAGGGCCCTGTTTTTATTAGCAGACCCCACGCCTTCCTCCTTCTTCATCACAGGATCGCGTGGGGCCTGGGCCAAGCCCTCTGTTGCCCTGGGCCTGAGTCCCAGGCTTGCAGGATGGTGATAAAACTCAACCAGCCTGGCTCAAGCAGAAGGGATTGGGAGGTTAATGAGCTTGAGCTTGTGAGGCGCGATCGGCTGCCAGGTGAGTGGTGTGGGAGGCGTGAAGGCGCAGTGCTGTTCACCGCGGCGGCTGGAGGTGGGGAAGAGGGCCAGATGGGAGCCGAGCTGCCTCGCGGAGGGGCTGCTGGATCTCACACCCAGTGCCATCAAAAATGTGCAAATTCCTGCAGCGGGGTTTCTAAATGAAGAAGCTGAAGGGTCTATTAACTAAGGAAGTGTCACAACTTGTCAGTGTTGCAATAGGATGACTACTCCTGCTTGACTTAAGATCTCTTGAGGGGTCTGAGGCCAACACAGGCTTCATTGCCACCCTCCCCACCAAGACCACCTGCTTCTCCTTTGGGGAAGTCTCCCCTTCTCCCTTCTCAGCTGTGAAGGGAGGCACCCTTTCCCACCCCAAGGGGGAGCCAAACTGGTCCCATGAATCAGCATGTCTTGTCCCCTGGGCCACCTAGAGGGAGTGGCTCAGTGGTGGGCATGTGACCCAATTTCAGATCTACGTGTGGAGAAGCTGCTCTTCTCTCCTGGCTGTGGGGTCTGCGGGGATGAGGGCGAGAGGTGGAAGTCACTCAAGCTATTGCAGGATCACAGGGAGAGAGCAGAGCTGGGACTGGGCACTGAGGTGGGGATGGGGCTCAAGGGTGCAGCTGACACTGTGGAGCCACTGTCAGCTGCTGGATCAAGCCCCACCTGATCCCAGCTGTGGCATTCATTACAAAGAAATGTGTCATTCTTATTCTCTTTGTAGTGTAAGTCAGTTTGCCTTGGGTTTTCTGTCTCCTGTATGATAAGGAGACTTGATCAATTCAGGCTCTTTTTAATATGGCTGAGGCTTCACCACACTTAGGACCTTCAGAGCTAAGAAAGCAACTATTCCATACAGGAAGGAACAAAGCGTTGCTTTCCCTAGATTTTTTTCTAGATGGCAATCTTTCAACTGATATTTCCTGGTTTCTCCTTGCCTCGTGCCAGGCACTGAGCCACCCACCCTCACAGACCTTTCCTATTCCAGCCTGACAGTGGCCCGTGAGCAGTGGATTATTTACCGAGTTTGACAGCCACACAATCCCAGGACCAGACAGCTTAAGAGGCTTGTCTAAGGTCACACGACCTCTAAATGATGGTGCCAGACTCAAAAGCCAGAACTCCAGTCTGGGCTGGAGCAGGGCGCTTTCTGCTGTCATGTGAGCTTCATGTGCGGCTTTGGAAGGACTTCCTGTTAAGTCTTCATTGGCCAATCACAAGATGGGTGACCACAGTACCAAAAAGTTATAAGAAAGGCTTGGATAAAGGGAGGGGTGGGAGGATGTGCTGGATGCACACACTTTTGGCAAAAGGGAGAGAAGCATCACCGGTTATCCTGCCACCTGGATGCCCCCTGTCCTTTCACCGTTTACTTCTCAGCTCCACCAACACGCTCACACAGCCACATCTTCGCCCAGTCGCTGCCATCTGATCCGACTGCATGAAGATTAACATCACCTTTTGCAGATAACTTTATACCCTTAACATTTTCCATCTGCATAATCTCCATAATGAAAATTTCCATCCTTTTACCTGACTGCATCGTGCTGATATATCATACCCTCCTGATTAACTCCACTATTGCGAGACATTTATGTTATTTCTGGCTTTTTCCCTCTCACTTTTCCCTACTTCCAATAATTCTGCCATACACATTTTTGTGCATCTAGATTTTTATTTCTGCTGAGCGATTTCTTTAGGGTAAGGAAGTGGGGTTGTTGAGCTGGAAGACAAGTATTTCGAAGGCTCTTCCTAAAGCCAGCCTTTCTGCTTTTCAAAAGCTGTCCTTCCACTCATTTATATTGCTGCCAGCAGGGTAAGACTGCCAGTTTTACTATAACCTTGCCAGGATTGGAGGTTATCATCAAAAATAATTTGTTAACTCAGATTTCAAACGGGATGTTAAGGTTGCTCTAATTTGTATTTCTTGATTATCAGTGACACTGGCTATTTTTCTATAGGCTCACATGCTATTTATATTTCTGCTGGTGTGGACAGGCTTCTGTCTGCTGAAACTTCATGCTCCATGACATGAATGTATGCTGGGGAGGAGGCGGGTGGAGGCTTGGGCAGAAAGATGCCAAGTTTACTGCCATTAGTTGAGTTCTAACAGAAATGGCTGTACCGAGGGGCCCTTCTTCCCTCAGCTTGCAGGAGAGACACCAGTGCCTTTGGAAATGCCCCAAAGTCAGGGTTCTCACCTCTGGGTCCTGTGCTTGCTCCTCAGTGGGTGAAACAACCTGGCTGAGATGGGCAGAGTCGCTTTCGATGGCCTGGAGGACTTTCAGAAGCTTCTGCTGTTGTCTGAAACGTGATTTTGTTTTAGCAAACAGATTGTAACAAACGATACACAACAGAGAACACTCCCATCAAGGGGACCACGATTACTTTTCTGTTTCAGAGAGAAGTTAACAATTTGAGAAGAAAGTACTTCTATCCCTGAAACAGTCCGAAGGTGCACCCGCACCCGCGCTGGGTTTCTCCCTTTATAAATAACTGTACAATCAGCGAGGGAAGAAGGGCAAGCAAGATAAACTGTTTGGGGCCAGCTGCCAGCTGATCTCCTTAACCTCCAGCTGACCGATAACTGGTGAGAGTCTAGTGCCGGGGTCCACACACAGCAGGTCAAATGCAGCCCGTAGCCTGTTTCTGAGTGGCCTGCAAGCTGAGAATGCTTTTGATGCTGTTAAAGGGTTGTTCAGACAAACAGACAAAAAGTGAAAATACTTTAGTATTTGCTCGCTGATCCTTTACTGAAAAAGTCTGTGAACTCCTCGACTGGAGACTTGCTTTGCACCTCTTGTTTCTGAGGACACAGGCAGCCCAAACCCAGCAGAGGGTTGTCCGCAAACGCACCCCACTTGGGCTGTTCAAGGCTGAGTACCCCCAAGACCCTGAAACACAAAGAATCTTGATGATGAAGAAAGAAGCATCTGGTGATGTGTGCGCTGCTTATAAATAGGACCGTATCTGATGTAAAGTGTCCTCACGGCCCAGACCTTTCACCTGCAGAGGGAACCTCAAGTTCTTATTTATGGCCACAATGGTACACAGCATGGTTTCCGATCTGGGCTCTGCAGACTCCTGGAGGGATGGCTAGCACTGCCTTCAGCCTATTCAGAGTTTTTCTACAAATTATTAAAAGCAAACTCCCTCTGGGTGGACACAGACCTGGGCAGTACACAGCCTGGCCTGGAAACTCCTCCTTTGTGCAGTGAAAAAGCCCCCACCCCTTTTGGGGCTGATGCAGTCTCAGGGACAGGGCCTCGGCTTAGAGATCACTGTGCAGGCTGGACTTCAACTGCTCTTGCCCCTCAACCAGGCACAGGCACCGCACAGAATGCCCTGCGCCCAGCTCCGCACGGCGGCCCGGGGAGAGTGGCTGTGTATGAACGCAAGCTTGAGATTATCAGCTCGGCCTGGTGCATCTTTCTAGCTTATTGAAATTTAGTTGATTTACAGCGTTGTGTTAGTTTCTGGTGTACAGCACAGTGATTCAGTTCTACATATATAGATATTCTTGTTTGTATTCTTTTTCATTATAGGTTATAACAAGATATTGAATACCGTTCCCTGTGCTACAAGTAGGACCTTGTTCATCTATTTTGTATCTGCTAATCCCAAACTCCTAATTTATCCCTACCTGCCTTTTTCCTTTGGTAACCATAAGTTTGTTTTCTGAGTCTCTTTCTGTTTTGTAAATAAGTTCCTTTGTATCATATTTTTTTAGATTCCACATACACGTGATATGATATGATATTTATCTTTCGCTGACTTACTTCACTTAGTATGATAATCTCTAGTTCCATTTATCTGAAGATCTTTTGCCTGATGATCAGAAGAAAGGCTTTATTATTATTATTATTTTAAGGAAAGCCTTTATTTTGATAATAAACTTGACAGTGCCGATCACTGATGCTACGTGTTAACGGAACAGAATGCTGCATTTGGAAATTTTGAGTAGAGAAGTGAAGGTTCAAAGGACACTCCTTTGGGTCACTGTCTACCACGTGGGCTGCTTCAGTGGAAACCTTTGAGGAGACTGAAGCTGTACACAGGCTGAACTGAACTGAACGAGCAAAGAGACGTTTGTCTGAAAGAAATCAAGTCCATTTTAGGCTCTCAGGCTGGAGGGAGAGGGAGAGGGGATGCAGTCTAACAGAGTAGTTTTAAATGGTCCAGAATAACACAGGAAGTGCAAAGAAAAACCCCAGTTAATAAGATCCTCATGGCTGCACGACTACGGGTTGCTTGTTTTTGTTTTGAAGCTGTCTTGATAAGTACCTGCTGCCCAAAAGGCCAATTCTGTCGATGGCTTCACTGACGGCTCTGGCGCCCCCTGCTGCCTGGGACAGCTCCTGCGTGCTCATCGCTGCAGAGATGGGAGGCAGCTAAGGGAGGATGGAAACACGAATTAAACAGATGTCCGGGGGACACTCCTGGCCCAAGTCATGGTCAAAGGTACACTTCGCAGGCCATCGGTCCTGTTGTGGGAAACTGGGAACAGGAGTGAAAGTGACAGTGACTGTCTGGGCTGATGAGATCTAGAATCCTGTCCCAAAGATGGGATCTCAGTTTCCCATGATCTGGGGGGTCCCAGGAAATAGTCTGCTTCAACGAGCTATTGAAAAAATCTTCTCTCATCAAAGCCTTTCCCCATCTCCAGTGAACCTCTCTTCTGTTTGCTACAAAGGAGCGGGCTCCGTTGAGAATTCCAGAAACATTAGATTCTTTTATTTTTAATCCTCCAAGACTTTCCCCCTTCTTTTTCATTGATCACCTAAACGAGAAATGTGCTCTATTCTCTCTCTGCAAATAATTTCAGTCATTGGAAGCTCTGTGAGTCAGGGGTCAGTCAGGTCATCTAGGAATCCTGGACCACAGAGTGGGCAGTGTGGCAAACTTGTCAGAGATACTGGCTGGTGACAGTTTAAGATGACAAGGAATTAGCAGAAAAAGTAGGAGGAATAAGAAAAGCAGACCACTGCAGTGCTCTGGGATGCTTCCCTGCCCCTCACTCTATCCCATGGGCGTTCTCTCCAGTTTCCCACTCTCTACCCCGTCCGCCTCAACTTTCTCCTCCATGTGTCTCCTGGTGCAGGCCAGGCTCATTCCCATTTCAACACTTTCCCCCTGTTCCCCCTGTTCCTTCCACCTGGAATGCTGTTCCCTGTTGCCGCCTTGCTCCTTTTTAAATAGAAGGGCTCCATTCAAATGGGATGCCCTCCGAGGGGCCTCCTTGGACCACCCTGTGGGGAGTAGCCACCATCCACCTCCCCATCACTCTCTCGCCCATTAGCACCTTTTATAGCCATCTCCCTCTAAAGCCACTTAGTTGATGCACAGCTTTCCCTGTATGTTGTCTGCGAGCTCCCTGGGGCCAAGGGTAACCTGGTCTGACTTGGCCCCTCTGTATTCTGAGCACACAGCACAGACTTGTGCGCAGTCTAACAAAGACAGTCCCGGGGGTTTAATTAAGTCACGTCCATATTTTACGGGGCTGTCTTTGCTGAGAGAGGCCTAATTGACCTAGGTAGATAATAGATAAAAATTTATGTATTTAGGATACTAAGATCCGTTTTTGTGTAATCTTGTAGATATGAGACAGAAACGTAATGTGGAAATGGAGTCAGCAGGCCTGGGTGAGTTCTGGCTTCCACCCCTACCCTTGGGTGACCTGCTCCAGCCTGGGTCTCCTGCTCTGTGAGGTGGGCAGAATGACGGCGTGCTCAGGGGGCACGGGGAGGACCTGCTGGGACCGTGTGGGGAAGCCCTCTGGAGACTGCCGGGGTCTGTCCACTCAAGCCTCCACTGACCTCAGGGGTCTCCTCCTTCAGCAGGCTGGCCCAAGATTTTGCTAGTGGTCCTTCTGTGTCCTGGAATGATGGAATCACATGACCTGAGGTCATAATAAAGCCACTCACTGCACGCTCTTCACTGACGGAGGTGCAGACCGTCTGGAAGTCATAGACACAAAGGTCAGGGGCAAAGGGCAGAGCTCCAGGGAAACACCCAACAGAAGACCCTAAAGAAGAGCCCACAACTGAGCCTGGGGGGTGACCGGGGGTGCGGATGGGGTCCTAGGCTTGCAGGCAGGCAGACTTCGGCCACTTCCAAAGACATGCCGTGGGAAAGCCGCCTTGATTCTCTGGGTACCATCAGCCACATCTAGAAAGCGGGGTGATGAAACCAGCCCTGCCTGTTTCAGGGCTACTGTGAGCATCAAGTGGCACAAGTGCCGGGAAATGGGTTTCAACAGGTGAGCCGGGAACATGCTCCTGAGAAAGGACGTGGACACTGAGGGATGTCCAAGGTCTCCAGCTCCCCAAGGGCCCCCACTCTGCCCACTATCCATCCACCTGTTTGTTGCTCAAAGCTGAGGGCAGTGGGCACCAACTCAGACACCTACAGGGCCAGAGGGGTTTCCCGAGCAGGGGAAGTGAGGCTGGGGCAGGACATTAGGGAGTGGTGGGGACTGTGGGAGCTGGAAGGGCTCATGCTCTGGGAAGTTCTTTCCAAAGGAGCCAGTGCTGGCTGTTTGTGCCATTCTTTCTCTGATCTACCAGCCTGCAACTCGAGTCTAAGGTAGTCAGGGTTTGTGGGGAAATCAGCAAGGACTGGAGGCATATTAGCATCCAACTTAGACTTAGGGAACAAAAGATGGAAAGGAGTTGGGGAAATGGGAACTTTGATAGGTCAGTGAGCAGCTGTGCATCGAGCAGGGAACGAGCTGCTTGGTCTGAGGTCAGGGAAGCTTCCACGTCTCTCTCTCCTCTCTCTCCTCACCACGTACTCTTTGCAAGCACCACTTAGATACCGCCTGGTTCCCGAGCAGCCCGAGTCCTCCTTCATCCTTTCCCGCTGCCCGAGAACGCACCTGCCGCGGGCTGGTGGGGGCCTCGGCCTTTCTGCTGAAGATTGCCCTCTGCAGGGCCTCGTTCTCCACCTGGATGGCTCTGAGCACAGCTGAGGCATCTTCCTTTCGGTCCTCAGCCTCGTGCACAGGTTTTCGGGTTGCTGACAGGGGTCTGTCTCGGTGGCTTCCAGGTCCTGGGGGCAGAAAACAGGAGGTGCTCCTTTAGACTGCATTCTTGGAGCTCAGCTCAAAATCTATTAGACTCAAATTGGGAAACATTCTGTACAACTGGCCTGTACTCTCCAGAAACGTCAAGGTCAAGAAAGACACAGAGAGCCCAGAGAATTGCTCAGGTTAAAGATGGGGCAGACATGGCTCCTGAACAACAATGGCGATTCTGGACCAGATATGGGCTGGGAAAACAACACTGTAAAGAACATTATTGTAGCAAGTGGAGAAATCCGAACAGAGTCTACAGCTTGGATAACAGCATTGTATTAATGTCAAACATCCTGAATTTCATACATAAGTGCACTGTGTTAATGTACAATGAATGTCCTCGTTCTTTTAAAAATTATTTTTGGGGGGCTTAATTAGGTTTTTTATTTTAATGGAGGTACAGGAGATTGAACCCAGAACCTTGTACATGCTAAGCGTGCGCTTTAGAGTTCAGGGTAAAGTGGGATGACGTCTACAACTTAATCTCAAATGACTTAGAAATACACACACAGAGCAAATATAAAGCAGTTGGGACAAAATGTTAACAACTGGTGAGCCTGGGTGAAGGGCATACGGGAGTATCATTTGTGCTATCCTTGCAACTTGCCTTTAAGTCTGAAATTGAAATAAAAAGGTAAAAAATTAGCCCTAGAACAAAGTACCTAAAGGGAATAATACCGAATATTGTGGAGAAGGATGGGTATTTGGGAAAATTTTTGCTTTATTTTGTTGTGATTTTGCATGGGTAACAAGAATCACCAAGAAATTACTTAATTTCAGAAAAAAGAAAAAAAAGGCATTGCAAAGCTGTAGTTGATTCTGGAAGTTCTAATGAATGGAAAATTGATTTTATAAAGTAGAAAGTGACATGAAAAAGTACCCAATAAGGCTCATTGAATACAAATAAATTATGGGATGCCCACCCAATGGGATACTATGCAGCTATAAAAAGAAAAAGCAGTCCAAAATATCTACAGATAAATACAATGACTTGAACTTGCTTCATAATCACTGGGGAGTGGGAGGGGTTGCAGATGAAATTGGTCATCAACTGACAACTGCCAAAGCCAAGTAATAAATGTAGGGGTGACAATAATATTCTCTGAATTACTTATGTTTGGATTCTTTCTCTGTTAAAAAACAAAAAACAAAAACAAAAACTCCATTTAAAAATAGAACTGCCCAAAATGGTTCTATTGGGATGTATAAAGAGGCTTCTACCTACTAAATTTCTTCCCTTCGGCAAACATTTAGTGAGTGCCACTCCGCCAGGCGCTGTTCTCAGCACTGGGGACATAGTAGTGAGCAGACAAATCAAGAGTCCCAACCTTGTGGCAACAGCCAGAGAAATACAACGTAGTATAGGGTGTTAGATGGCATAAACTAATATGGAAAAACAAGAAAAGCAGAGCTGAGTAACAGAGATGGGGAAAGCGGGGCGGCGGGGAAGTATGGTCCAGGCACCAGCACAAGGTGAGAGGCCTGTGGTGTGTTCCAGGAGCAGCAGGGGGCCCTGGGCTGGGGTTGACGGAGGGGGAGGGGATGGGGGGGTTAGGCTAAGAGGAGGTCTGAGAAGGGGTGGGAAGGGCCATGCAGGGCCTTGGAGGACATTGTAATGCCATTACTCTGAGTGAAATAGGGAGCCACCGAAGGCTTTAAAGCAGGGGATGACTTGAGGCTTAGGTGCTGAGTAGAGAAGGGAATGAAGGGAGGTGAGGGGGGAAACAGAGAGGCCAATCAGGGGCCCCTGCAATTACCCAGGTGAGAGGTGTGGGGCAGGGGAGGAGGGAGGTGGGTTGTGGTCAGATTCCACATGTATGTTGCAGACAGAGCCAACAGGATTTCCCGACAGAGTAGATGTGGCTGGTATGGAAAGAGAGGGGTCCAGGATGACTCCAGGGTTTTGGCCTAAGGAAGCAGATGACGGGTGCTTTCAGTTGAGCTGGGAGGGCTGTTAGGAGCAGGTTTGGAAGTGAAGAACAGAGGCAGCTCGGATCCAAGAAGATGTGAATTTGGCATCAGGGTGGAGCTGTCAAGTTGGCACATATACAAACAAGTGGGGCGTTTGGGAGGGAGGTCTGGACTGGAGGTGTGAATTCGACATAGGCAACTGGATTGCATCCTTTAACAATAGTGTCAGAGATTGACATTAACGTTGGCCAATAACAAACTAGCTGTGAATTGACAGGTATGCCTTCTTGAGGGTAATATATATATATATATATATCTGGTCTGGTGCAAAGGCTTGTTGAAAACCAACAACCTCCTGTCCTCATGACCTCAGTAAACAGTCACTGTTGATTGTTAGATATTCAGTTGGAGCCCTTTACCCTCCTGCTACGTTCTGTTAGAACTGGCGTCAGGCAGGTGGTGGATAGCTCAGTGGTAGAGCGCATGCTTAGCACACACGAGGTCCTTGGTTCAATCCCCAGTACCTCCATTAAAAAAAAATTAAAAAGAAATAAAACAAAGAATCAGCATCTGAATGAGAGGTTCAAATAGCAACACCAAGAATGCCTTTGGAAAGAGAGGGAGGGGAACACAGGGCAGCTCAACTGGCTGGCGTCCAGTATAGCCAGGCACTGAGTTGATGGGGGCTGTGGGTTTTTATGGGAAGCTAAGCTAAAATGAGGGGACACCAATTTCTGCCAGACACCCAGGAGAGGGGCTTTGAATGTGAATGGCCAGAGCCTGGGACAGGCACTCTGAGTGCCTGAGACTAAATGCAGCGGAGCCCCTGCCCAGCTCTAGCCAATGCCTGTCAGAGAGGGTTATGCTCCCAGCGCTGCCAATTTTTGTGTTCATAGAAAAGCTAGAACCTGAAATTTATATGAAATCCCCCTGAATTTTATTTGTTCATAAAGTATTCCAGTTTTTAAGAAATGCGGAGGCCAACAGAACCCAAGGGCTGGTCTAATACAGGCCACAGCAAGTCCAAGCTGCTCCCCCAGGAAAGTCAAGGGCACCCAGAGGAACCCTTGTGTGCCTTCAGATGGCTGCCCGGCCTGGGCGATCACAGCAGTGGGTCATTCCCTGACTGTGATGGACTCTTGCCGCTGCTCCAGTGCTGCTCCTGGGGACAGGAGTGTAAGGCCCTGCCGGCAACATGCCCCGGGGGTTTTCTGTTCTCCCCAGTCAAGGCTGCTTTAACTCTCCTTGTTTTTCCCTTTCCTCATCAGCTAAGAGGCCTGGCTCTGCAAGTCCAGGGGTGAGAAGGTGAGAGTTGAAAGAGCTGGTTTCACAAGCTGATGGGGGTGAGGATCCTCATTGTTATGGGAACACAGTGGGTCAAGGGGTGGTGAGGCCACTGAAATCTTCCTCACTCAGGTCCCTGCAGCACCTGGGCGGACAGGAAAAGGGCATGAATGGAAAGAGGAGGTCTTGAGCTCCCCTGGAGCTGGAACTTAGGAATCCCGAAATACCAGCACAGCTTCACCCCAAGGGTAGCTGAAACACAGGGGCTCCTGCCAGGCAACGGTGTTAATTACCCAGGCTCGTGACTGCAACTGTCACCGCGCTATGAGGTGAGATGCTGGTCTGGGTGTGGGGGTACAGAGGTGGCTGGAACAGGCACACCATGTCCTCACAGACCTCACAGTCCAGCGCAGAGACAGACGCGGATCAGTCAGGTGCACACAGGACAGGATGGTGGTGGGTGACAGGGGCTAGGGAGGAAAACCAAGCAGGGTACAGTCTGGAGATGACAGGAGATGAAGGACACTATTTCAGATGCTCGGTTAGGGAAGGTGACATCTGAGTGGAGACCTGGAGGCGGTGAGCCTTGTGAACACCCATATGGGGAGGCCGTTCCAGGCCAAGGGAGCAGCAGGTGCCAAGGCCCTGAGGTAGGTGGAGCTTGGCACAGTGAGGAAGGGCAGGGGGCCTGGACTCGGGGAGTGAGGTGAAGCTTGGCAGGGCAGCGAGGGCCGAGAGGTCTCTTCTCGGTTCTCAAGGGGCCTCAAGGCCACGTAAGACCTATAGGCCTCAGGCTGCTTCAGGAGGCCACGCCCACCTCGTTTACTTAGGGTTCCCAGGATTGCGATCTTTGTCAAATGAATGGATGGAAAATGATTTCAATCCTGAACCTTGTCAGTCTTGGTAGTTGTGCATATCATTAAAATACATTATTTCCTCCACCATCTGTCGTAAAGCAGAACTGAGAAATTCAATGCCCTTTCAGATCCTAGAGCAGATCCTATAAATAAAGGGACTAAGATCTAGCGTAAAGCTAAACACATGTGCTAGCACTCTGACACTGGGGGTACAAACCCCAGCACTGGTGCAAGGCTCGGGCAGCCCCAGAACACGCAGAACCTGAGATTCATATGCCCCTTCTGCATTTCCTGCATAGAG